CGTGCTGCGGTCGATGGAGAAGTTGCTGCAGTGGGGCTGAGAGCGTGTACAGGTGGTGTTAGGTTTCACCTGGTGTGGTCAAGCAGGGCCTCTATTCACCCACAACACGTATAAACTCACCAAACTTTCCGGACCATGAGCCACTCTTGTTTTCATGGTTTACTCGGTCCCGTGTTTATCCAAATGTATGAGCTTTAAAATGTCCATTCATACTGACAGTTAAGTGATTTAACTCATTGGCTGCCAAAGACGTCTATAGAGGTCTTTTATGTTTTTAACGAGAGTGTCTGGGGGACGATCTGCTAAAGCTGTCCGTAAATATCAGGCTTCTAGACAGAGTATGTAGTAACAAATTGACCCTGTAGGGGGCAGTGCCACTTTTGATGGGAGATGAGCATAGACTGTAGGCAAATAAGAAAAAGGTAACGGTTCGCTATGAGAGAACATGTCGCCGGTGAGACACAAGTCCAGGAAGAACGGAATAAGGTAGAAACACATTTTTTTTTCTGATGAAAGAAGAGAGTCTACTCTTTCTTTTGGTGTGTTCGGTGTTTACATAGTCATAGCACAAACTATTCTGTGGCTCTTGAAAAATCAGTCAAACTGCTCAAAAAACTCTGGCATTATGGGACTCTGTTCTGAAAATGGCTGGCAGTCAATGAGTTAAGGAGTACTGTCTTTATTTTTGTTTCTGTCGAGCCAATTTCCAAGGTAAGAATTGTATGTTTTTATTTCAAATTGCAGGATTTGAGTAAGGACTGCCTTTTGTTCAACTCAAATAATTTAGCCATACAATGAAGAGCTACTTTAAACATTAGATAAACACAGTTTTAAGTAAGTTCCTTATTAGTCCCGAAACGATCTGAGAAACATCTCATCTTTTGGTGGGCCTGTTTGCTGTATCTGTATTCATTTAACTGTGTTTTCCTGCCCATCATCGCCACACATTTTACGCACATTTTATAGCCTCTCAATGTTAACAAGTTAACAGTTTGTAAAGAGAGCCACAATGATCAACACACTGAATTACAACTGCTTTAACCTGGCAAACACTAACAGATGTAGTTTCAGTCATCTTATTATTAGCTGCTTACTTCTATTTAGTGCTATGTTACACCAAGGCATCATAAAACACCATTGCCATATGCAAAAGTATGCCAAATTATTTATGCATCATTCAATTTAAAGGCTTTGTGTATCAGTGCATGAAATAAATCCCTCTTTTAATGATTATATCAACAACAATAATATTAGTTTAACATTTATCAAATGGTACGTGGCTTTGAAGAATGAATAAGGTCAATGAAGATGTGGATGGAAAATGACCAAACCCAACATGGTCATGAAAGCTGATTTATGTCACTGGCTCGCAAAAATAAGCCCTGGTGGCTTCATATTAAGAGAAAGTCCAACTAGGATAGTTAAATTCTTTTGAAATAAAGTACATTTCAGTAAACCTGGGCAGTAGAGACTTAGTTAGAGGATGCTAACAGCTACGGGCTCTAGCTAGCATAACAAACGGCTAAACGGGCGAACGGCTAGCTTGGTTGCTAGTTTTTTAAGGCACGCGCGTTGCTATGGTAACCGCTGGTACTTACACTCATGTAGTGTCCTCTTTGCGGCCTGTGGTGGAGAAAGGGGTCCGCCGCCGGCCCGGGGCTGGGGAGTCCCGGGGGAGGAACCGGACAGGCCCCCGGGAGTCTGAAGTGTGGCGGCGGGGGTCCGAACGAGGGCGCCGGGCCCCTGGGGGGATGGTCCGGGTGGTACATGGCTCAGGGAGGGGGTCTACATCCGTGTCCTTTGCCCCACGGAGACGGAACGACGGCCTAATGTCGGTAACCGGGGCTTTGTTTGGCGCCATGCAACTCTGTCCCGAATCCAGGACCTGAGCTCCCGTCACCGGAAACGAGGCGCCACACATCCGGAGTGGGCATTTCAAAGTAAAAGCCGCGCGACACGTCAACACCCCCAAAAAGAGCAGAAAAGTTTAGCTCTGAACGCCGAAAGGGTGATAACAAGATTAAGATTTGGACATACAGGACTTAATTATACACTTTATAAAATTCAAAAGCAGAATACCGGCAAATGTAATTATTGTGGAAAATATGAAACAGTAGAACATGTTATATTAGAATGTAATAAATATGAAAGAGAGAGACGATATATGAGGAAAGAGTTTAAACGCATTAAGGAAAAGATTCATTTAGTAGATATTTTGAGGAAGCATTTGGGGAGTAAACATATAAAAATAGTTATTCAATATTTAAAGAAAACTAAATTATATCATAGAATTTGATTTATAGGAGTTAATTATATAAATGAGTAAAATATTAAGGTACATATAGATAGATAGATATATATAGAGAGAGATACATATTTATATATATATAGATAGATAAATAGACCATTAAGAACCACACTCCATACCAGTAAGTGGC